TTTTGTATTATAATTTTAGCTGACAAAGAATTATAATAAAGTAAATTAATTTAGATTGTCAAGCCAATAATTTGATTTGATCAACTTGATTGAAAGTTGATACTATGTATTAATTATCAGGATTCATTTATTTATCATAATTTAACCAAGATTAAAACCTTCTCGTCATACCGACCTTTGCTTTACTGTGTTTTTCGACATTTCTGGAATCCTTAAACCGCCTCTTAGATCTTCTTGCGTATCGTACAAGTAATAAGATATATAACTGGACATATCTAGGCAATAGCTTGACGAGGTAATTAAATTCAATTACTTTATTTAACGAGACGAACGACGACCATCTATGATGCCAATTCAACGCATCTTATGCAATATATGTTGAAAATTTTTAGTTAAAATTAGAATTAAAAGTTTATTTTGTAGTATAAATAATTTTCAGTGGGATTCACACTACAGGGGATTAAAAATCAAATGCACCCGAGATCAAATTACGGACTTCCAGTAACCTCATGGGTGATGACTGATGAGATTTCTCTCATGTAGGCATAAGGAATAAGAATTTACGGTTTTTTTTTTTTTTTTTCACTTAGACCTTTAAACACTCTTCATTTTTTTTTTTTTTTTAATTATGAAAACAACTACGTTAAAAAAAAAAAAAAAAGAATTTCGATGTGAAAGGGTTTGAAATGCAAACATGTTCAGATGTTCTCCCCTACTACCCTACAGTTGTTGCATAGGTAAAGATACACTAACACTTTGTTTGGTAACATAGTTAACTTATCAGTCAATTTTGACTTATTTAACCACTATTAGTTGTTTTACTTGGTTAAATAGTCAATATGATTGTTTTATTAATTAGTTTTTTGTAATAGCTTATTGCGTGCTCTAAAATGTTAAAATTCAAAAAACTGCTCAAAGTAGTTTTTTTGATCAACTTTTTGAGAAAATCATTTTGCATGTAATCAACTATTAGCTAACAGCTAATTTGTCAAATATATTTCTACAACCAAATGCTATCAACTAGTCAAAGTTATTAACCTAATCAACTAACAACTATTTACCAAACACCCATTCAAACGTTAAAATAGAAGTATAGTACAAGGTTGGAATGATGCGCCACTCATCTAGAGCTAAGAACGGGAACTAGCTTGTTTTGGGTTTTCTCCTCCCCTCTTATCCAAAAAAAAAAAAAAAAAAAAAAAAAACTTTAAAATTCAATCTCTATTATCTCTATTATAATAAAGCAAAACTTTTAGAAAATAAAATTAGAAAAAAAAAATTTCCGCCCAAAAGAGTATTCTCAAACCTCAAAAAATACATTTAATTACGTTACCTATAAAATGCATAATTTAATTTGATGGGTGTAACCCCCAATCTAATTTAAAATAATTGATTATATTTATATATTATAATCATACATAACATATCTTTTATATAATTCTTCCAAAGGGCTGAACCCCAACCCTAATGGTCCCTCACACCCCGACTCGACAGAACATTTGGAAAGATGTAAATCATGATAACTCAACTGAACATAAACCACAGATGCTAGATCTGTGCTCACTGCATTTGATATAATTATATATATAACCCCCAATCTAATTATATCTTTACATAGTTGTACACGCATTACTCCACACACACACACACACACACACACACACACACACACATATACGGGTCGGAGTCAAACGGTTCGGGTCAAAGTCAAACCCACTTATGCATGGTCTATATAAAGGGCCTTAGCCCTTCATTTTATAAGGGGTTCTTTCCTCTCACTCTCCCTCTCTCTAAAGCACTCTCTAAACATTGAAGAACACCTATATGAATAAAAGAGTCTTTGAGTTATTATTCTAGGATTTTCTACTCTTGATCCAACATACATACGATATGCATTTACACACAAAATACACGGATCAATTATCCGCATCAACACTTACACATATTTGCTTACAAATATTGTATACTTATCTTTTATCTTTGTATAAACTTTCGTACAAATGTAGAAGAATGTTTCTTAAAAATGTAAAAAAATGTCTTCTTAAAAATGTACAAATGTAGAAGAATGTACAAAGAGGTTGGAATACAATTCTCCTATTTGATGTAATATAAGTCTAAAAAAAAAAAAAAAAAAAAAAAAAAAAAAAAAAAAAAAAAAAAAACTAACATACGTAGATGCATGAAGGATTTTTGCAAATTTTACATATATATGTCAAAGCCATGGCTAATAATAATAATAATAATAATAATAATAATAATAATAATAATAATAATCTTAACTATAATAAAGCTATATGGTTTGGGAAGTAATTAATGTTACAATTAATGCCACAACATCCTTTATTATAAAAAAAAAAAAAAAAAAAAAAAACACAACATTTGAAAAATAAAATAGTTATATATTATATAATCATATAAAAATTGTACTTTTGAAAAATAAAATAGCTATATATTATATAATCATATAAAAAATGTGTTCAATTAGATCAGAGTTTAAATTTATTCATACAAAATTTGAAATTTGCTTTCCAAATGTAATTATCTTAGTTATTATTCGTATTGTGAAAATTATAATATAGATGAAATACAATTAAGAATAAATCAATGTAATTATGTAAATTCTCTCTATAAGTTTATATATGAATATGCACATAATTAGAGATTATATTAACCATACAAAATTTTAATTTTAATTTTAATTTTAATTGTAATTTTGTATTCTATAAAAATAATAAATACTTGACCAATGGAAGCTCAAAAATATAATAATATTAAATAATTTAAAATATTTTAATTTTTCTATTTTTATTTATATTTATAATAACATAATTTTTTTCCCGTGCATCGCGCAGGTGAATTACTAGTAATAATAATAATAATAATAAACCCTAACTAATAAAAAATACGAAGCAGAGTAACCTGTGATGAGAAGGAGATGGCCCACCCATTGACATATATCCATCAATTTAATCTTTACAAATATATATATATATATATATATATATATATATATATATATATATATATATATGTATATATATATGAATGTTAGTAAACAATGTGTAGGACAAACACGGATAAACTAAACGATTCACAAAATCAAGCTCCCATCGGCTCAAAATCTGTAGTTTTAAGAGATTTTATAATCTAATTGATACATTTTTTTTGTACTTTTATTATGTTTATTGAGTACATGTTTTCATTATATGTAGAGAATAAATCTTTAACAAGGGTTGAGAACATTCGAAGAGAAAACTTCTTCAGTGCAAGGTATACGAAATTCCAAGGATCACTTAGTACGGTATTGGGCGTACTAGAAGATAGTTAGAACATAATAATTTGTATAAATCGTATTTACGTCAATTCTAAAGTTATTTACCATAAAGTGTTTAATAATGTATCATTCTATTTGTACATAATATTCAATAACAAGTTTTTTTTTTTATAAATATAATTATAATTCATGTATTTATTTATTGTACTTCAGTTACCTGTATTATAAACAACTTCAAATAATTTTAATAATTATTTATTCGTTGAAAGAATAATTATTTATTCATTATAACATTACAAACAAATTTTTAATATTTAAAGCTGATGCTCTTACTGTTGTCCAAAGCTTAAACTCTACTTTAGGAGCTTCTTCTTTTGACTTGGTTTTGTTAGATATTAAAGATAGGCTTAGCTGGTTTTCCCATGTGTCTATCTCGTTTGTTAAGCGTTCTACGAATCGGGCTGTCCACTCTCTTGTTCGGGAGTCCCTTTCTAAGTCAGAATGTGAGGAATAGGTCACTAACCCCCCTCTTTTCCTGTGTAATGTTCTTTATGACGACTTTATTAATGAAATCTAATCTTCTGTTCTCAAAAAAAAATAAAAAATATTTAATCGTGCATCACACGGATAATACTAACATCCCTTTCAAGATGTAAATTTGCCAATGTTACTGCGCTACCAGGTAATTTACAAAAGCCAAGGCTAAAGTAGGAGAGAGGAGGACGGATAGGTCAATCTTTACTGCAGAAAGAATGAGTGATTTATTTATTAGAACAGGTAGGGATTAGGAGAACTGCTCCTCTATTTTTCAAAAGAATACACAGCACGTACATTTAAATATTTAATTTCACTCAGGAGAAGAAGTAAATCGTGAAATATGTATCAACTCTCTAACAGACACCTAAATACTTGTACATTACTGATCATAACAATGTCAAATTCATATCTCTTTTTTTAATCATTCGAGTCCTACACCTTACAACTGCTAGCAAAGTAAAGTTTATAAACTTATTTTGAATTGATTAGCTAGTTGAGCAGTGTCCGGCGGTCAGAATTTAGGATTTATGTATGTATGGGCTGCTGCAATTCCAAGTTGTTTCTGAACCCAATAATTATGCAAGCAATGACGCGATATGATTGGGCAAAATTTGCATTAATTTCTGTGTTAGTTGCATAAACTTATATTATACAGTGAATTTTGAAATCCTAAACCTGTTATTAATGCATGTTCGAGAACTTTTCAAAAGGTCACATGTTAGAAGACTAAGTCAGCATAGAGCATTATAGCGCTACGGGTTTGGTTGAGCTACCTCAATTAATGTACTTGGGTGTTGTAACAAGTACATGCAGTACATCCCAATCAAATTAGTTGAAAAGATTTTAAATTTGATTCAATATAATTTATTTTATTGTGATTCTTTACTGATTAGAGTCACAAAGCATGTGATGGATGTAGTACCAGGATTTTGAGAGTGTTAATTAATACTGCCTCCAATGAGACTCGAACCCTCAAACTTCTCAAATGGGTGAACAACTTGGTGTCACTTTACCCCAAGGTCTTTGGTCATTTAAGCTAACAACTTATCTAGCAATAAATTAAAGTAGTCTCAAATAGTCAAACACTACCTTATGTTATCATGTATGTATTACCATGCATTTACCCAAACAGATATTAATTAATAGCTATTTATAATGACATGTATAATACAAGGAGCTAGCTTGTACATACAACACAAGACCATCCACTCTTGATGTTGCATATATGCATGGCCTGTAGAATAGGGTAAACTAACGCCATGCTTTATGACTCACACAACCTCACATACATATATAAATACAATACAACGTAACATAAACATGCATACATGCATATTTATAGTATACACATTATTATTATTATTATATTGTATCTTCCGAGGAGCTGAGAAAGCTATATATATGGATGGATGGATCAGTGCATTCCAGGGATCTTGTCCTTGATCTTCTCCATCATCCCCTTCTTTTGGCCACCTGCACCCACTTCTTCTCCCCCTTCAGCACAAGTATGGTGGTGCTCCCCTTCCAACTTCTCTTTCATCATCTTCCCCTTTGTTCCCTTCTTCCTTCTCCCTCCTTCCCCATCATCCTCAGACTGCATGCATTCACCCATAATATATATCATGTCAGTCTAAGATTTATAATACTCACAGCTCAGGAATTGGATAATCTCAAATATGGCATCTAAACGTCTAATCTTTTTCATTTTCCCTGCAATTCTACTGTTCGAAAAGTAAGATGTCAGCTTGCAGAGACAACTCTTAAGATAGTTAGATTATGGACAAAGACACATGATTGAGCCCTGACAATTATTTTTGTAGGCACTAGCTAGTAGCTAGACACGGATCCTCCCACCTAATGAACAATTGAATCATTGTGATTTATCTTTTTATTATAATGTTGAGTTCGGTTGAATCTGGGGCGTTGATTGGGTTCTACTACAAGATTAGGTTTCTGGTAGATTTTTATATATATATATATATATATAGCACTGAGACCGTACTCAATAGAGAAAGAGAGAAGCATGCACTCACAGAGCTGGAGCTTGAACTGCCGGTTCGACGAAGCTGAGGTTGCTGATGCATGCCCTCATCAATTGCAGTGTGGGGTCCACCATGCTGCATGCCCTCCTCAACTGCAGTGTGGGGTCCACCATGCTGCATGCCCTCAACTGCAGTGTGAGGTCCACCATGCTGCATGCCCTCGGTTATAGGGTTTCCATGTCCATGTCCATCGCCTCTGCGCATTTGGCCTTGCATGCCACCATATTGCTCTCCAAATTCAGCTGCCATTCTCGATCTCGACTATATATACTCACACAACAAACACAAACTCAAAGACAAGTACCGAATTAACGTTGTATCTTATCGAGTTGATGATGATGAAGCAGAGGGTATTGGGCATTTATATAGGCCAGGCGATGATGAATTACTCAAACTCTTTACGTAACTTAACGGATTTAGTTGAATTGGGATGAGATATTATTCTCCCCCAGGCCCAGGAAAAAGACAGACAGGACAGTGGCTCCTCGTATCGGAGAGTTCGAGAAGCTAGCGTTTTACAGGTGTACAGTGGGGCAACCAATAGCGCAGAGATGCGTGGCAACATGGAGACAGGTGTACGTCCCTGTGCCGACACTTCCATTCAATTCGCAGCCTACTGTACAGGTGGAAAGCAGCTCAATCCTCAACCTTTATCATAAAATCCACAAATTAAAATGTAGTTCCCAGGCAAGAACAAGTGGTTGATCATTTGACCTCAATTATGGCGGGAGGCGTTGAGGTAACGTGGTGAAGATTTGAATCTATTTCAATTAAAATAGGGTGTGAGTTAGACTCATTGTATGCATCATAAAGCGAGGGACTGTTTGAAAGACTGCTCATACAACTCGCGATTTGTATATATCCTTTAGTGATATATACTAGAGGCTAATTAGTTTAGTCCACGTTGAAAAATCTATGTATAAAAAAAAAATAAAAAAGAAGATAAAACTAAGATGGTTTCATGGAGTTAGGAGTCTATGTATCAATAAAATAAAATAAATAAATAAGAAAGATAAAACAATGACATTAAAGACTTATTATATCAAAAAATAGATCAGATAAAAGGTAATATATATAAGTTAAGTTTATGGAGTTCAAGAATTGTGTATTAAAAAAATAGATAAAATATAACAGGAGACAAATTTATAAAGTTCAAGTATCACTAGCAATAGAGTTTGATTCAATCTACGAAATAAAAAAACTTTTAACTGAGAGGTGTTATCAAAATTAAAGTGTAACTAACCCTTTGATAATTGGATATATATCAACTGGCTAACAACATTACTATTTACTCATTAGTACCCAATTTGGATATGCACTATGAGTTAGTTGTAACCTTAAACGTGTAAAGATATGGGCCATTTCTTTGCTTTCTATTTATTCCTGAAAAAGTTATTTGCAAGTCATATATTCTATATATTATATGACGATGTGACAGAACAAAAATTAAATAAAAGCAATAGCACTCTTTATTTCTTGCATGAGAAATATTGGCCTTGTTTAGTAAATGAAGTTAGCTGATTGGGTTAATTAGATGGTATAATTAGTTGATAACATTAGCTGATTGTAGAGAGGTGTTTGGTAAATTAACTGTTAGTTGATAACTGTTTGGTATAATTTCTTTTCTCAAAAAATTAATTGAAAAAGTTGATTTGAGCAGCTTTTTAAATTTTAGTATTTTAGAATTACAAAAAAGCTAATTAACTAAACATTTATATTAATTTTTTAACCAAATCAAACAATTAATAGTGATCAAATAAGTCAAAATTGACTGATAGGCTAACTATTTTATCAAACAGGGCCATTGTGTTATATTTCTATACTAAGGGTCAGTTTGAAAATCTGGAAAATGTTTTCCACAAAATGATTTTCAGAAAATGACTTATTTTCTAAAAGAGTATTTTAATTTTCTGGTGTTTGGTTCAATGTCAGAAAATTATCTTTTTCTATTTAGGTGAGAGTTAAGAAATTGTATTTTTCAGTTTTGAATAATAATAATAATAATATTAATAATAATAATAATATTATTATTATTATTATTATTATTATGCAGTGGTTGTGTGGTGTGGTTGTGGTAGTGGAGATGTTGATTTTTCACAAGCATTATATTTTCTAACTGATACTATAATATGATTTCTTATCGATTTTGCAAGAGATCAATTTGGGCGGTGATACTTAAACAGTTAAACCTTAAACTTGAAAGGTTCTTCCACCTATTAAATTAGCTTAGTCTTTTATTGAGTTTCCATACTATTATTACTCTTGTTGAAAAATTGATACCCAGAAAATGAATAAGGATTGACGGGTAGCCAAGGAGACTGCTCGCTGACCAAACAAAGAATGCTTGGTATGATATTACATAAATACATACGAACATATATCTGCAGACTCAATTGCTGCAATGCAAAAGCTTGGTGAGTGGAAAGCATTACAGTAAAAATGTGTGCGTACATGTGGCTGCTGGGATTCGAGCCCAGGTCTCCACGGCCACAACGTGGAATTCTCACCACTAAACTACAGCCACTTGTTGAACAGTTTCTCACCATTTTTGTTTAAATCGCCTGTACTTTCAAAGTTTTGAAGAGCCTACCTAACATGTAAAATTACCTATAAAAGCTACCATTTGAATCTTTTTTGCAATCAATTTTGATTAATGAACAAAGTGTAAGCCCTCAACCTTCAAACAAGAAGGATTTTGACAAGAAAACTGGTTTTGACTACTTGGAACTCGTATGGTGAAATCGTTGAGAATGATAAAGTTTATTTAATTTCAACAAATAAAATTTATCTTCTTTATAATAAAAGCAATTTATTATAAAAATGCACATCTTCCTCTTGTAGATCAACTAATGCATTGATGAGGCTTTTTGGTTCTTTAACTATTCGAATGTATGTTTTGGGTGAAAGTTGTCTTAGCTTGTGACTATAACATGCAAGAATCACAATGAAATAAACCAGTCTAGATGGCATAACTGATGGATTCAAACTAAGAAAGCCAATAAACATCCATATGTTAATATACAACTCTTATTTACTATCAATAGCAAAAGTGGGATTTGATTCAATCTTGCATGAGAAGAAACTTTCAATTAAGAGTGACTCTCGAAATTAATGTGCAACCATTTGATAAATGAATATATATCAACTAATTGTATTAATTAATATTAACAACATTACTCATTACTATACCTAATTTGGATATGTACTGCACTTGTAGCCTTAAAGATGGGCCCTTTAATTTCACCGCTCTCATATTATTTCTAAAAAAAGTTATTTTCAATTCGTGTATTTATATATTATATGGCGTGACAGAACAAGATTAAATAAAAGCAACAATGTTCTTTATTTCTTTCATGTAAATTGCAAAATCGTTGTTGTGTTATATGGCGTGACAGAACAAGATTAAATAAAAGCAACAATGTTCTTTATTTCTTTCATGTAAATTGCAAAATCGTTGTTGTGTTATATTTCTATACTAAAGTTTGTATTAAACAAAATATATTATAATTAGACCCCACGAGTTTTTATGTTTATCATCCATTTGTAAATTAGTTAATCTTATGAAATAATATACGAGTAATACTTATCATATAATATATTAGAATCAAATAAAGAATTGAAAATCAGTAAAAATATACAAGAATTATTATAGAACACTAATAAGAACAATACATAATATCAAAATGTGTTCAAAAGCTTATGAGTTCTATAGCCAAGTCATTCTTCTATGCCTTGGCTTTAGTACAAGTTTCAGAGCTCACATTTCTGAAATGAGTTTTAAAAGTGATGTTGTGTGGCTGCTGGGATTCGAGCCCAGGTCTCCACGGCCACAACGTGGAATTCTTACCACTAAACTACAGCCACATGTTAAACACTTGTTCACCATTTTAATATAAGTTTGCAATGACACTGGACTCTGCAATAATATTAATGATAGTATCTACTGGGTTATAATTCATATTAGAAATGGTAACTTATTATCTACCTTTTTTAAGGTCTAGAAAATCGTGGAATATATATCAACTTAGTTGGCATTAGCGGTCGTGCATAAGTATAAATTGACAATAAATAACATAAGGAAATTAGAAATTAAGATAGAGGAAATAGCAAGAGAAAGACAAGAATTTTTTATTTATTTATTTTGAAATAGAGAAAGACAAGAATTAGTACCAAACATAGTTTTAAAAAAAAAACACAAAAAAAAAAAAAAAAACATAAAATTTAGAATACCCAGAGTAATATGACCTCAAGAAATACGTAGTGATAAATTTAAAATTGAAATAATTATAAAAGAACTTGATTAAGGAATAGAATTTAACAAAAGCTATATATAGAGGCTACCATTATATTTGAAACTTTGAACCTTCTTGCAATTATGTTTTTTTTTTTTTTTTTTTTTTTTATAAGTCAAATTTTCAAGCTTTGTTGAATTATATCTTAGATCTTATGAACCTACTCTAGACCTATGAGGAGGTAAATTAAGCCAATTTAATTTTAAAATTTAAAAGATTTTGACTAATAAACAAATATAAGCCCTCAGCTTTCATAATAACACTAATTTGACATTTCATAATTGGTTTTGAGTTTTGACTACTTGAAAATCAATTGGTGTAGTTGTTGAGGACGATATGATTTGTCTAATTTCAATCATGAAATCTATCTTCTTTATAGTCAAAGTAATTTAATGCCTAAAATGTAGATCAACCAATGCATTGATGAGGTCTCTTGGTTCAAATAGATATGCCACAACGTTCTTAACAAACAAAAAGAGTAAAAATTATAACTTCTAAATAAGGAATATAAAATGGGGTATATGTAGTATTACTTGTTTAACCATTTCCTAAGGGCTAGGAAGATAACAAATTGTGAATCATAATCCAAAAATGACGTCGTTTTGCGTAAAAGAAAAAAAAAAAAAAAATTCACGCTACCCGCTGAAATATACATTTTTATAACTCATAAGGTCTATTATCTTACTCCAGAAGTTTCATTATTTTTAACACATAATGTACATTATTCTAACATATAAATTACATTATTCTAACGCATACTGTACATTATTTTAACTCATAAAATTCAATGACGTCGTTTTGGATTGTGGTCCACACAATAATTTGCCGAAAACAACATTCAATCCAAAAAACAGAGAAAACTGGATATACTCACAAGTAAGCCACACCAGTATGTCACTCAAATACATATACTAGTAGTTACTACACTTTAGATTTAGAATCCCTGCACAACTCCATAATGTTACATAATGAAAATTCATTTTTCTTATCATCATACAATGCTTTTTTTGTTTTTGGTCAATAGAGATGAAGCTCTGCTAAAATGATTACTTCCACCAAATTCTCTCCCTCTTGTACTTGAAGAATAGTACACAAAACGTAAAACGGTAAAAGGTCATCCAAGACACTGCACTCTCCTAATCGTCTGAAATGCCAAGCATGACAGTCTCGGCAGTTTGCAGCTGGGATAAAGACCGGCTTTCTTCAAATTCCTTTATCAATCGGAATCTGAATCAGAATGCGCAGATGACCTCACCGCCCTGCGTCCATTATCATAATCTCTCTCATCGTCATCATCATCTGGTTTGTTCTCCTTGATTATTCCTGCAATTATTTTCAGTTTAGGGACTGCCAAAAGCCATTGAATACGAAAACTTTCTGTGAGAAAAGCAGTACCTTTCTTTAACAGATAAGTTTCCAGTGTTTTTGTGGAGAAATCATCCTTTCCTCCCAGGTCCTGGAATCCAACCAGCCTATCTGTAGCAATTCCTTTCCTATACAGCAGAAATTCCACTTTTCATAAAATAGAAATGTATAGAACCTGAAATAGTGTGTCTATGTATGCGCAAATAAGCCAGACAAAGAATCAACTCCACAAAAATGATAATAATAATAATAACGCGAGATGGAACCAACCTGAACAAGATGACACATGGCAAAGTTTTGATTCCTAGCTTGGTAACAAAAAAGGGAGCATTCTGCAAATAATTTGGATGCAAAAATGAAAACAACCCTTTATCAGCATACTAGTAAGGTGAACAAAGCCAAATATAAGTCCCGAAGTGAACCAATCCAATCACAAGAATGCTTAGATTCAATTGGTAACTAAATAGAAGAAAATGAATATAAACTGAAGTGAAGCTGACCTCTGCATCCAATTTTACGAACTTAGTATCAAAATGCCTTGGCGCAAGTGACTTTAAATGCTTATCCATGATCCTGCAAAGCTCAACCAGCACAGTGACATAAAGACATAAACTTTACAAGAACTAAAGTATATCTGTGATAGGAACTCATGAACAAAACAGGAAAACCAAAAACAATCACCCAAAGACAACCAACAAATAGCAAGGCAGCAAACATAGTTTACTTCACTTGGTTGGTAATTACTTTAATATTCTTACTTGCATCGGTAAAACTCTCTATGGTAAAAGTGACAAATCACTTTTTCACTGCCAGTAACTTCACCCAAAAAGTCCCCTTCAGTAATCTCTCTATACTCTCCATGCCCATGCTTTTTCAATTCTTGTCGCTTCTCAGTTTCTTTCTGCACAACATGTCCAGTCAAAATCACATCTTTACAATACGAAAGGCTCACTCCTAAATCATTCATAACCTTGAGATGCAGGCAAGCCAAATACAAACCTTGAGAGCAGCAATCCTATCAGCATGCAACTTTTCCAATTCAGGATCCTGTTTATGACAGAAACAAATTGAAAGATGAACAGCCTGTTTATGTGGTGAGAGGGAGAAATAAAGACACATTGGCAAACTCACATCCATTAGCTCATCAAGATCAAAATCTACATTAACAGAACTTGAAGTCTGTGCCTTGTCCTTGGATAGCACTTCCTGCAGAAATGAAGATGCTTACATTAAGAAACAAAAGAGAGCCTTCCACCAGATAGCTAAAAGAACTAATGGACATCACATTTCTGATTATATCCATATAGGCAAGCCCCAACTTTGACAAGTAGTTATCTAAAAATAACCCCTCAAGTCACACCAGTTGCAGGTTTCCAGTCTACCATTAAGCTCAACACTACATTAGCACTCTGGCTGATATGAAAGCATAAACTTTGGGAAGTGCTCAGAGATCAGATTTAAACCACTAAATTCTAAATGAAAAAAAAAAAAAAATTAATTCAGCCAGTATTCAATGACTTCTCGAATCAAGTAGATGGTCCCTGAAATTTACTATGACTTCTCGAATCAGTAAGAACATTATGTTGAAAATATGAAAGCCCATAAGTCTTGGAATTTCATCTAATCTATCTAACATCTAGAAAACTATTCTGTACATTGTTTATATGTGGGTACAAAATTAAACTCAAATACAGCTTCTTTATTAGGTAACTCAGCACTAGATTGGCTAGTAATAATTATTTGTTTATAAATTCAGGGGGGAAAAAAGCGAACACCCGTTCTGTAAACGCTTGAAGCTGACTTATAAAAATCTAAAACTTCCAATAGAATAATCAAAAGAAGTGATGGTGAGGAGTATGAACAGAGATAGAACGAGGGGAAATATGAATTATAGCAGAAAGGAGAGACCTTTTGATAATCGCGAGCTGCCGCGGCCATGACATTTCCAAATGCCAACGTAGAAAGAGTTGATTTCACCGAGTCCGGATCCATTTCTAGCTCTATCTCCGAATTACAATTCAAATTCACGGCGGAATCTAAACGAGAACGAAGATCTGGATTTCAACTTTCAAGCGTGGGAACTCTCACCAAATCTCCCAATCCAAGCAGCGCACTCCGCAACTGTGTTTCTTTATTTCTAGCAAATGATTTATACTCCTTAATTTATTTGGAGTTTTTGTGTTTTTTGTTTTTTTGTTTTTTTATTTTTTTTTCGCCCATATTATTTACGGTCTTATTTTAAAATTTTATTTTGTTGGATTACATTCCAAATTTCATGGACACCATTTTTATACCATAGAATCCGATCCTAAATTGTATATTTTTACTATTGAAATTATCCTAGAATATAAATTATGTTTTTAAATTTTGAAAATTTGTTAATACAATCCAGGGTAATTACAAATTGTATGTTTCTAAGTTCTGAAAATTTGTGAATACAATACAGGGTAATTACAAATTGTAAATTTTTAAAAGGTAAATTGTGTATATTTTGATTCGAATCCGCAGAATAATTTGCACAATGACATTTTTTATCGCATTGTCCAAGGGGAAAACTGGAAAATTTGTTCGTCTCCCATTCTTTTTTTTTTTTTTTTTTTTTTGATAACTTAGATTTTCCAATTACGCGGAACTATATTTTAAATCTCACGAACACTCCTCCCAACCCATGAGGAAGTAAATAGAATCCATCTAGCTTCAAAACTTAAATGACATTTTTTATCGCATTGTCCAAGGGAAAAACTGGAAAATTTGTTCGTCTCCCATTCTTTTTTTTGTTTTGATAACTTAGGTTTTCCAATTACGCGGAAAATTTGTTCGTCTCCCATTCTTTTTTTTTTGTTTTGATAACTTAGGTTTTCCAATTACGCGGAACTATATCTTAAATCTCACGAACGCTCCTCCCAACCCATGAGGAAGTAAATAGAATCCATCTAGCTTCAAAACTTAACACCAAACTATACATTTTTTAGTATAAGAAGTTCAACCCAAACATCCCATATTCAAGGCAGGAATCAAACCTCCATTCTACTAGAAGTAAATTTCAAGTGAAACTTCTCATCCCAATGCTCAGGGGGCAAATTGCATTGCATAAATTGTCCGTCTCATTTTTTTTTAAAGGTGAGTGGAACATGAATCTCGTACCAAAAAAATATTTTTGCAGTATCTCAAATTCAGCAACTAATATAAGACTGATGTCGGGAGCTGATTGATTATGTTTGTAATAATGATAATGATAATAATAATAATAGTAACAAAAAAAGATATCCCATAATTTTTTTTTATTTAAATTCAATTCAAGACAATCTGAATATAAGAATACACAGCCATTTATGGGGGTAAACATGGATGAAAATTGGAAATTGACAGCTTGAGAAACAGGCTGCCAACAACCAATTTTCTTGATAACATCCTGCACTGCACTAATCAACAAGTTGACAACTTGATAAAATGGCAGGCTCACATTTTAACCAACACAAGAACAAGATCAAAAGTTATTATCTTTTTACCCCATAGACATGGATTTATACTGCTGGACTGTGGCTATTATAGCCTTCTCGACAGGCAGCCTCTCCAAACTTGAAGCACCATAAAATCCATGAACTCCTTTGGTTCTTTTCAGTACATATTCTGCTTCTTCAGGGCCAGATATAGGACCTGTAAATTGGTCAAAAATGGATTCAAACTTCAATACTAACTTGGTCATGTCTATCTTGCTATCTACATCAGAATATCCAAAAAATATCATATGTTTCAGGAGCCTCCTCCTGCTAGATGATTAATAATCCCTTTTCTAGTGATGAAGAGTTTATCGAACTATACCTCCATGGCAAAGAACGATAGCATCAGGATTAATCCGATGAGTAGCATCTGCGATAGCTTGTACACAAAGCACACTTTCCTCCAATGAAAGTGCTGTTTTAGCACCAATGGATCCAGATGTTGTGAGCCCCATATGAGCCACTATGACGTCAGCACCAGCTTTCGCCATTTGCAAGGCTTCATTTGGATTGAATGCATACGGAGTCGTCAAGAGACCCATTTTATGAGCTTTCTCAATCATCTCAACCTCCAAACTAAATATTCAAATAGATGATCGTTGTCTTTGTTAGTTTGTAGTAAGAAGGATACAAAGATTAGTTCAGTTGCAACAGATTATAAGCATGCTCTTTTTTTTTTTTCAAAGGAAGAGTGTATAGATCATATCAGTATTTAAGAGATGCAGTAATAGAACATACCCATAGCCCATTCCAGTCTCTTCTAGGTTTTGCCTAAAATTTCCATCAAATAATCCAACAGTAGGAAAGTTTTGCACCCCGAAGAATCCAACAGATTCCAACTGCTTCAGGAAGTAATCCATCCTGCGGAATGGATCAGTGGCGCAAACTCCAGCCAAAACTGGCACCTTTTTCACAACCTGAGCATTTCAGAATTCAAAGAAGCCAACAAACATCATCATGAAGATACTATAGCATACTAGCATAGCGTACATTTAAACTTTGTGGTTATGCAAATAGACAAGCAAACAATTTTCCCTTACAGGTAGCACTTCATTGGCCATCTCAAGTACAATGGCATTTGCATCAGCAAAGGGCAATAAACCAGCTAAGGATCCTCTACCTGCCATCCGAAACCGCCCCGAGTTGTACACAATAATCATATCCACACCACCAGCCTCCTCAAATTTCGCCGAAATGCCTGTTCCAGCACCAGCCCCAATGATAGGTTTTCCCTTGCTAATTTGATATTTCAGTTGCTGTAGTATCATTCGTGTTCTCTGCAAGGTCTCTGTTTAGAAAGGTTAAATTGAGTTTCAGGTCTATAGCCAAACAAAAACAAACACCATATTGCCAATGTTGGTAAATCCATATCTCGCTCAAAGTTTTCCATCATACTCGCAATAACACTGGGTAGAATGCATCAGAGAACCTAAGGGCATCTACAGTACAATGTATGTGCATATTTGTGAGGTCCACTCACTCCACATCAACACACAGTATCTCATCTATCTCCAATACACTATCTCCCTGTCAAAATTTACTATAATATCACATAAATAAGCATTTACATCTCTAAAATAAAATTTAAATTAATTATTTGCCCATATGTGTTCAACCAAGTCAGCCCGAAGTTGATGATGTACTTGAGAATCACATAAATTGGAATATCTATGAAGGTATTCTTGAAATTCTTGGGTTGAGCCTTGAGACGCTGGTGCTAGCGCACCACCCATATCATCCACCCAATTGGCTATGGCATCTCCTTCATCCTCAACAATCATGTTATGCAAAATAATGCAAGTATATATTATTTCTTTCAAGTTTTCCCTATACGACAAACGCCCTGGACCTCTAATCATTCCCCAACGAGATTGAAGAACCTCAAATGCCCGCTCGACATCCTTTCTTGTCGCCTCTTGTCTTTCCTTAAACTTCTTTTTCTTCGGGTCCACTGGGCACAAAAAACTCTTCACGAACGTTGACCATTTCGGATAGATGCTGTCTGTAAGAAAGTACCCTTTTGTATATTGTCTGTTGTTTACAGTAAAATAACCATCCGGTGCATTTCCTTGCAAGACAACATTAAATAAAGGTGACTCATTAAGCACACTGATATCGTTATGTGATCCTGCGACGCCGAAAAATGAATGCCATATCCATAAATCTGCAGACACGACTGCTTCAAGTACAATTGTTGGAACTCCATTATCACCTCGTGTAAACTGGCCCTTCCAAGCTGCTGGGCAATTTTTCCATTCCCAATGCATGCAATCAAGACTCCCCAACATCCCTGGGAAGCCGTGCCTCTGTTCATGCATGTGAAGCAAGCGCTTGATGTCAGTTGCGCTCGGTCTTCTCAAGTATTCGCCTCCAAAAACTTCAATGACACACCGACAAAAGTTGATTACACACTCAATGGCAGTTGATTCACCCATGCATAGGTATTCATCCATTGGGTCGGCAGGTGATCCATATGCTAATTGATAAATAGCTGAAGTGCATTTCTGAAGTGGTGATAAACCTTTTTTGTTGGATGCGTTGGCTTTTTGTTGAAAATAATCAGACCGACTTTGCAAGGCATCCACTATACGCAGGACTAACTGTTTTCGCATCCGAAATCGTCTTCGAAACATATCTTCTGGATATATCGGATCATCAGAAAAGTAATCATTAACTAGGCGAGTGTGTCCCGCATCATGATCCCTATCAAAATACCTTCTCTTTTTTCTTCGGTCAGAAAAACTCCATCGCATTCCAACAACCATTTGATTGTACTGAATCATGGACCTAATTAGTTGTTCTCCCATCGCCCAACCCCGATCGTTGGTATTCAATTGATTATAATTACCAAACATTTTGACTGTATGGAAGATATAGATGAAAGCTAGTCATATGAAAGTGAAAGGGTTTATTTATAGGGAAATATTAGGGAAAAAAAGATGAAAACAAATTGCAACAAGAAGAGGGGTACATCCTAAACAACCAGAGAGACACTGAAAGTCTGAAACACAGATTAGAGCACCGTCCCCAGTTCTCCTCTGTGTTTTTCTTTCCTATATCAGCTGATGAAGGAACCCTTCTTTTTAAATATAAAATGCTAATAATTGAAAACATAAGGAATGAAAATTACCTGGTTTTGCATCAGGGAAGTCACTTGGGCATGAATGAAGACTTTCACCGCTTGGGAGCTTTGTCTGATTATCTTCTTCGATGGATTCATTGCTAGCTTGGTGAGTATCTACAGCTTTAGGTTTTGAACATATATCTAAGAAGGAATCAACCAATGCATTTGCAAACTCCAGGTCATTAATATGATAAGGAAAACTTTTAACCTACCAATACAAAGAAAAATCAACTCAGTGTAAGTGGCCATAGAGGTAGAATCCTGGAAATAAGTTACCAACAGAAAGAGGGTTGGAGACTGCCAATACTAAATGACTCAGTGGGATGGGTACCTGACGGTCTTCATTAATCTGAATAAGCCTTTGTAGCTCTTTAACAAGGCATCCACTTGCCTCAGGATCATAAAATGCTTTCCCTGGGGCATCCAAAGAAGAGATACCTTTCTCTGGCAAGCAAACACATACCTTAGATGATGATTTATTCAACTTCTCCGCTATAAATGCAGCAAATTTCTTATTTTCATCTGCAGTAGTTCGCATAAGAGAAACCTGGGAAAATAATGCATTCAGTGAATTCAAGAGGCACAATTCAACTAATCATCTCTTTTAGTAAACAAGTTAATTCATCCAAAACAGTATACTTCAAAAAAAAAAAAAAAAAAAAAAAACACACACACACACACACACCCACACACACACACACACATACTTTACTGTGCTGCCAGATATATTCTAACTAGGTAGTCATTTTGAGATGAAAATCCCTTGAGAGTTGAGAATATGTAGCTACCTTCTAATTGCAATTATAAGTAAAAGGCTATACTGATCACAAGGGCCACTTAGCACCCACAAACTTATTTATCTTGGTAGATGGGAGTTCCAGAAATATTCTAAATGAATTGACTAGAACTTTATAATGAAGAAAAACAGCGGAGGGTGCTGACTTTTGTGAGACAATGCCATTACCTGCTCATTATGCACATGAATCTTCCTTTGCTGAAAATCAGAAGGTATGGAACTTTTGGGACCAAAATTTACCATATCCAAGGCTCCCACACTTAGAACTAAAGGAACCTTCTTCTCTAATATTGCATCAAAGCGAGAACTATCACACGCCATAACACCTCCAACAAGGTAATCTGCAACTTCAGTCGTAGTGATGTCCAATACACCCTAGGATGAAGATAGAAGGAAAAAAAAAAAAAGGTTGTTATCTATTGAAAGCCATTGACTTTCTAGTGATAAAGAGCACTTATGAAGCAGCACAGGAAGATTCATAAATATCATTGAAATGCAATAGCCTATTAGTTTTCAAGTTTAACACATCAAAGTCATTGTTCTGCACTACACAAGTCAAATAGGAACTAAAAACAAAAGAAACAAAAACGAGAGAGAGAGAGAGAATCACAGTGTAGGGTGAAAATACCTGTATAAATCCTCCTTTAACCAGATCCTCCATGGCCTTACCACCAACTCCAGTTGCATGAAAAACCAAGGTCTCATATCCTTCCTTAGTCAATCTTTCTTTAACTGCATTAACACATGGCGTAGTAACCCCAAACATTGTAATCCCAACAGTAACCTTATCATCAACAGTAGGGGATTGCTTGGAGCTCTGGAGTCTTGCAACCACCATACCAGCAAATGCTGCACCAGCATTGGATAGAACAACCCTGCTAACACTGTTAATCCCACAAACATCCACTACTGAAGGAAACAATACCAAGTCTGATGCTCCAACATAGTGCTCCGTTTGACCACTAGCCACAGTCGACACGATCAGTTTGGGGATTCCAATCGGAAGAGAGCGGAAAGCAGATGACAACAAAGACGTCCCTCCACTGCCTCCTAGGCCAACAACTCCAGCAAGAACCTTATCACTATGAACTTTATTGAGGAAATTCTCAAGCCCTTTATTCATGATTGCAATAGCTTTGCCCCTATCATCCGGAAGCTGAACAGAGTGTTTTTCCCCTGTCCCAGAATAGAAGGAAAGAACATCCTTTCTTGATACAAAATTAAAATCTCCACAGCTATCAGCCTCCTTCTGACTACTGGTTGAGACATCCACCACTGTGACATCCACCTGTATGTTATCATGCAGACAGATCAAAAGTTTGTGACCAAATACAGGAAATTTTCTCTTATTTTCATTACTTAGTATTTTACTTTACAAAATAAAATAAAATAAAACACACACACACACACAGTGCAGTACTTCACTAATTCTGGTGCATTGTGGAAACTCATTCAGGCGATGGATCTTCGATTGAAGCGTCGATATATTAGGAATGTTTAAACAAACATGGAGCAGAAGAAGTTGAAGTTGAGAAAGGCATGAGATTCGGGAGAAGAAACAAAAATTAGAGAAGGGAGCGGTAAGCAATGGACCTTGGTTGAAGAGTTACTGGAGAAGCTACTGAGACTGGATCGGACAGCTTCGGAGAGGAATCGGAGCTCCTCAAGCTTCGTATCGGCCGTTCCAATGCAGAAAACTTGCAGGGAACTACTAGCATTTTGCTCCGTACCCATTTTTCGTTATCCTCTTTCTGGTAATTCAACTTTGTTTTCTTTGCTAGTAAACTAATTCTTCTGTACACACCGAATACAGTAATTCTTCGGTAGACACCCAATAATTTGGGATCGAGACTCTCAAAGTGGCTTATGTATTCAGCTAAGTGTTATCATGATTTACGTCTTGAATAATTTGAATTTGAATATAGTGAATGCAACCCTCTACCTATCCACCAAAACACACGAAATTCCTGACCATAATTCAAAGCAAATGTTTAATTCTCGAAACGATATCAGATCAAATTATTTAGATTCTAGATTTAGGGCAACCAATCAAGATGTTCATCTATCTGTGACTACAGATTTTCTTTTACCACTTAAAAAAATTAATTCATAAATATTCAAATTTATTTATATATCTGTGGAAAAGATTACTAACAAGTAAAAATTATGTAAGAATTTCACATCCACTTGTTATAGGAAATAATTTCTTGAGCAACCCCATAATTTAAGGGATATTGATAGTGATTAGTTAATCAGACCGTCTGTAATACTTTAGGCATCTCATTTTAAACAATCTCACACAAGAATTACTCATAGAAAAATCACTTGAATGAGTACTTCTAACACTTTTAACTCAACTTCTTCTCCTGCTCGTTGGGCCCTTAGTAAGAGAAAAGAGGTTTGACAAACCAGCTCTCCATAGTCTATTACCGTTTTTAGTTGGTAACAAATGCAATTCAAATTACATAATTCAAAACGGAAATACATAGAGTGCGATTGGAAGGAAGATTCAGTGTCTACAACCAACAAGAACTAGTAACACAAGGTGGTGGGTGCAGGGTGATCAATCTTTCCTAAGCTCCATTTCTTCACGACGGATACCTTCGGAGTTCATTATGACTATCTCCAACCTGTCACCCTGCAGGACAAATATAACATGATCAAGGACAATACAAACATGATTTAATGCAATAAACTGCCAAAAACGATGGAAACTTCACCCTCTGTTAAATAGAAAACAATTTTTAAGTCATTCAATAAACTTTCCCAAGTATGGATATCATAGCTAAGTGTTCAAACCTAAGCAGCACTTAGATTGGCTCCGGGTTACAGGTTAGTAAGAAAAATTGTCCAGAGATGTGTAGGTAGGAATAGCGGAATAATCTTAGGGGGCGTTTGGTTCAGGTTATATAAGATAACCAAGGTTATATTTGCTTGGTAATATAAGATTCCATGTTTGGTTCAGGTTATGTAACTTTCCCAGGGAATGTCAGATAACCTCCACATTAAGTTTTTAGCTATTTGAAGGGAATGTGAGATACCCTCTAATTTCTTAGGTAATCTCACATTCCCCCGTCTTATTACTAGTGTTGGGCTTTAGACATTTTAATCAATTTATCTTATTACCGTTGTCTTATTTACATATCTTAGTTTTAAAACCAAACCCAGTAATCTAACATTCTCAGCAATCTAACATTCCCTAAGGTAATCTAACATTCCATGAACCAAACGCCCCCTTATATTCTTTGAAGTTCAAATATAATAAAAATCATTTGTTTTATCTTTCCACTGGGATTCAATCTTCATAAAGTTATTCCATTTGTCATAAATAAAACAACACAAAAAGGGTGAACTAACAAGGGGTTTTGGTTGGGAGGAGGGAATTAAGGGGGAAATGAATTGTAATTCCATGGGGAAAGAATATGGTAAAAATAAAGTATGAATTCAAATTACCTTGTTTGGTAGGGAGGAATATAATTTTTTTTTTTTTACATCAGATGGAGGGGGGAGGAATAGAATTATTGAGAATGGAAAGAGGAGTGATATAAAGACTAAAATGTCTTGTGTAATAATAATAATAATAATAATAATAAAGGGCAAAAAAATCATTTTCTTCTTTTTTTTGCTTTCCTTTCTACGCTGAATTGGAATTCAATTGGAGGGAATTGCAATTCCCTCCAACCAAACAATGTAATTTCTGCTACCAAAGAATTAGGTTGTAATTCAACTACAGCCTACCAAACAGGCCATAAAGGCACAACAAACACCCACATCTTCATCCAACTAGCCTGTCCATATATTGTCAGAGCCACCATTCACTTACTTACACTCTTTACTTGTAGTACCATTTCTAAGAAATTCAAATTATAGTGGAGAAACTAAAGGGATTCTCAGCCATTTTCACAAAAAATAAAATATACAACCTGACATTATTTGTAGTAAGGTTAATTTATAGTTATAGAGGCAGTGTTGGTTTGTAATATTTTTGTGTGAATATTTCTTAGAACACCAAACACAGAAAATACTAAAACATGGAGACAACAAAGAAACAAAGAGGCTTACAGTGTATATATCCCTCTCAGTTGCTGATGCAAAACATGTCTTCACTAAATCGATTGCTTCATTCTCAGAAAGTGGAGTAACAGCATCCTGGGCAAGCAATGGAATCTTTATTAGATATCAAACCTTAAACATTATTTCTAAAGAAGTCATGCCAATGAAGTAAATTCCATACCACGGCAGGTAACAACAGTGGGCTAGGAGACTTCAGCTGGTTATCCAAGAAAGGCGTGATCAACGTAGAACCCGAACCTTGAGAACTGTAACCAACCCTCTCATATGATCCAACAGCATCATATGTGAAAACACACCCTTTGCCTGAAAGATTTCAAGAAAAGAAAGGAGGTGGACAAAAATAAAAGGTCATTATCTCCTAATCTAGACAGACAGTAAAGCTCAAGCTGGACGGCAATGTGTTACCTTCGCTATCAAGGCCCCCTACAACATTGAAAGAGTAGTAAGGGAAAAACCGTTTGTAGTACAAGGTGTTTGAAAGTAACTGAGCCATCCCTGGGCAGCTCATCTGCTTGTTGTGTTGGTGTTGATAGATCTATTTTGAATAACAAAGAGCAAATTGTCAACAACATATTTTGGGTTTTATGCCTCAAACACAAAAACATAAGCTAATAAATGATAGTTGTAAACAATCGGCCTCCGCTATACAGCATATGTGGTATCTCATACAAGTTTCACTAGTAAAAGGAAATATCCTTATACAGCTGATTAGATCCAGCTTCATGACATAACAGATTACATTAGGAAATCCACCATGGAGATACCAGATCGTGAGAATTGAGAGAGAAATAATGTGGAAGATATCCCATTTTTCTATTGGGAGAATAATGATAGCTACAAAAATCATATTTAGAATGTCTCAACAGCTTACCAAATGCCTGGCTGCCAAAAGCTTTTGCAAAGCTCTCACATCAGCCTGAAACCCAGAAGACGCCATCACACATTTATCTGCACTGCATCAGTAAGTACAAAAATATAGTTAAGAGAATATTTTACTAATTAATCAACAAAACTAATGAAAAAAATTATCTAATGTCATGTAATGAGGTATAATTAAGAAAATGTCCAATGCTTATATATTACATAAATTTCATCCACTGACTTGGTTCCTACATCCAACAATGCTCCAAGTGATTACAGGTACAACTTACAAGGGGTACCTTTTAGTTACAATTTAATTTTATCTAACTCAATTTAGTTGTTAAATTTGTTTCCAATGGATTTTCCATTGATGGGGAGCTTCCAGATGGGCAAAGATATTCCCTATCCCATTTAGGGACTGTGAGCTGTTCAATGAATAGCACTGTCAGATGAATGACTCTCACTTGAGCACCACTGAGCTAAACGGCAGAGAGTGAGATTTTTGTAGTCCTATGGTTTCTCACTGTGACGGTATCGTAAGGCACTAGAACACTATATCAAGTGCAAAGGAAGAATTCAGGCAGTATTAGATGGTATCTATTGATGTAATTGGCTGCCATGGATAACCCTCATAGGTGAAACAGATACCAAAATCATCTTCTTGCCTCCTTGATATTTATTGACCAATAAGCAGGTATGCCCAGGAAACTACGAGTACTTGCTTGTGCAATTATGGGATTCATGGCTAATTTTTCCTCTTGTACGATTACGCACACAACTGGGGAGGGTAATAGAGTTCTGGCCAAACAAGGGGCCACCAGATTACGCAAAGTCTTAGTTCTTGCCTGTGGACTTCCATCGGGAGGCACAACATTTATCTTGGATTGATAATGTGGGTGTGCCTAGCTTTTGGGATTGTTCTTAGAATACGGTTTTCTTTGTAAAGAAGTCCTCCATAGTTATTGCTTTCCTAGTATTTTTCAAGGCTGAGCAGTTTCACCCTTTGCTAGGATTATAAGGCAGAGTCCTATGCATATTGACAGCTTGAAAAGCAGGCTGCCAACAACCAATTTGCCTGATAACATCTTGCACTAAACAGCAAGTTGACAACTTAAAATAGCACAGCAAGGCTCCCTTTTGAACCCACACCAGAACAATTAAAAATTCCAAAGAAAAATGAGAATTAAAGGCCTTCAAACAAATAATACAACCAATAGTCACAACATGGAAAGACACCTAGGCTAAAATTGGAAGGAACGAAATTGGAAAGCCTTTAGCTTGAAGTGGATATCACCTTCAATGTATTACCATTTCACTTAAAGATGATATTTTGCCAAAAACTGCTCTCATCTATTGAATAAAAAATGAATAATAATACTATCACCAAGGGGCTTTCCCAAAAACATAACTAGTAAAGCAAGCATTATATTATAAGCATTACAAGGTGAAATTGACACCAAAACCTTTTGTTTATTATGGGATTATAAGCACCGAATTCTAATATACTGAATACAACCTCTACCTTCCGATAGAAACACACAATTTTTTAGCATGATTCCAAACAAAAATTTAATTCACCAAAGAGATTATTAGAGAATAATAAGATCACAAAAAGGAAAAGAACCGGCTAGAATAAAAATAAAAATAAAGGAAACTGTTTACAGTTTAATGATTTTGGAGTAATCGCGAGTGAGAATATTGTAGCCCGTGGACATCCGAGTATCTGCCGCGATTACGCAGTAATCCGCACCTGCTACCGCCACGCATGTTCTGCACAAATTGTTCAATTTTAGGGCACTGTGCCCAATACTAGGGAGAAAATTAAACCGAAGATATAAAAGCAAATATTACCCTCCATTGTTGTCGTAAGGAGACCAGTTAGCGTGCTGCTTCGTCATGGCGATTAGATCGATCGAGCGAGAGAGAATTTGGGGGCAGAAAGAGACGCAGGAGTTTTCGTCTTCAGCAAGTGAGATCTCTTCAAGCTTCAGCTCTCCTCGATCTTAAAGTGCAGTGCAGTTGGGCCGGTGATGCCGAGTCTGTTGGGCTTTATTTTTCAATTGGATAATAGGCCCGTTTCTTTTAGACAAAATTACCCCTTCTTTTTTATCATAAAATTGACGTTTGACCTCTCTCTTTCGATTATAACGTATCTTGTTCTTCTACTCTCAATCCAAAATGTCAATCAGTAGGTCAACCTCAATTAAATATGTTTTATCAAAACTCTCTTATTTATTTTATTGTTTTCGTTATGCAATTTTAAAATTTTTTTACAGCGTGTTACATAAATTTTCAAAAGCAAAATTTGAATTTAGTCATTTAAAATTTATAATAATAATAATAATAAGTATGCGCATTTTGGACTTTATAATACTTATTCATTTTCAATCCCCATGAAAGTAGTTATGAACAGATACTACATTGTAATAGAGTCAGTACTATTCAAAAAAACATTGGAATCCTTAAAAAAAAAAACATTGGAATTGAAATTCCCAGTAATTCTATTTATGCAAATCAAACATTGAAATTTAAATTATCACTTTATTCTCACATTATTCATCTCTCATGAAGTTACAATTATTTTCCCACTTAATTCTCTCCCTCCAACCAAACGTCTCGTAATATGCTAACTACATATGTCTAATATATTAATTTCAGACACATAATGTAATAAATTATAAATTAATTTTTATTAAGTAATTTTATTTTATTAGTACGTAAATTGTGCAAACTTATACAAATAACAAATATTTGATTATATCAATTACTATGTAGTGTGATGGTATTTTTATTATCATGTTAAATGGATGATCACATGTTTGCACCCAGTTAAATTACTCTAAACTATTTGAATTGTGTTGTGGTTATGGAGAAATGGCTCATTGAAACCTAATTAGTTGTAGACTTGTAAAGAAGAAGATATAGACCCTATTTGGTAAAATACTTAGCTTATCAACTAATTTTTATTTATTTAATCACTGTTAATTATTTAACTTAATTAATTAACTTTTTATAATTTCAAAAAATTATTGGCTACTTTAGCCAACACCTTTCTAATATAGACTAATATCTTGAAACCCAATTGAAAAGAAGAGGAGATAAGGGAAGGATAAGCCTAGATGGCACTATTCTTCTCTTGTACAACCCTCGGCCACTTTTTCTTCCTCTAGCAAGCATTAGCATAAAAACACATGAATGCATGTGGCTGCTGGGATTCGAGCCCAGGTCTCCACGGCCATAACGTGGAATTCTTACCACTAAACTACAGCCACTTGTTGAATAGTTTCTCACGATTTTATAATAAAAGCTATACTTTGTAAAGTTTTGAAGAGCCTACCTAGCATGTAAAGTTGCCTATAAAAGCTACATTTTGAAACTTTGAACCTTTTTGCAATGAATTTTGATTAATGATCAAAGTCTAAGCCCTCAACCTTCAAACAAGAAGGATTTGACTACTTGAAACTCGTATGGTGAAATCTTTGGGGATGATAAGGTTTATTTAATTTCAACAAATAAAGTTTATCTTCTTTATAATCAAAGCAATTTATTGTAAAAAATGCCTATGTTTGCGAGAATGACATGTTTCAGGAGCTTGGACCGACTGGCCTGAGAAGACAACGTAGGCAATGAAAAGACGATTTTACCCCTAAAATTGACATATAAATAACACTGAGGTGACGTAAGGACCAATGATGGAAAGATTTTGATAGTCAAGTGTCAAATTTGTCCAAATTAAAAGACAACGACTAAATATAGAAAATTACTATAGTCAGATGACCTTTGTTGGAATTATCTCTATTTTTATATATATGATGTTCAACATACACGCCCTTCATATATGCGAGCATGTTACTTTTTTGAGGAGCCACACACAATATATGGATCGTAATTTCTTTTTTTTTTTTTGGAAAAAAAATTGAGTGAGGAGGATATTAGAACTCATGACTTTTAAATCTATAGTTTTTCTAAATGTTATATCAAATGTTGTGAGGAGATGCTAATAGTTTGAAATTGATAAATATATAAATACTAAATTTGTTTTCCAATATAATAATCCAACCTTTTAAACAAAAAAAAAATAAAGTCACAATATATTACATAGTGGGGTGGAATCTTGTGGTTGGGTTACATGTTCAAGTGGAGGATAATAGAGTGGTGGTGGAGGAAAATATATATAACCCGGATATATTTGCTCATCGCCATTCTTCTTTTCTTCAGCCTTCTTTCCTTCCGGCTTCTTCTCTCCGGCTTTTTTCGGGGCATCTTGTTTTGGAGGAGCCGGCGGAGGCCCAATACTCACCACCTCCATAAATTTGCCAGTCTTTTTTATTTTCACAATTATCTCATAAGGATCACAACTTCCTGTTACACTCAAACTCCCTTTTGCTTCATCAATCTCAATTTTATCAACCCCTACTTACCACAATTAAACACAAATAAAGAAAATTGAGAGTATTATAACAGGAATTAAAGAGGCCAGCCAGGCCGGTGAAAATTATTGAGTATAATACGTACTATATATATATACCTTCAACTCCAGAGACAGCCTTGAGGAGCTTCTTCTTGCATTTCTCACATGAAATATCAACCTTCAATACAGTCTTCTGCACCATTATTACAAATAATGAACTCGATCGATCGATAAAACCACTGCTTTGATGATATGATAGATCTTTTTTGAAGTTTCAATTCTTCTGATCTATCTAGGATTTATCTGGAAATAACAAGCTAAGCTGGCGGCCAAGAATATATATAATTGAATGGTTCCAAGTTTTGACATTTAATTTGCATCTACCAAACATGCATATATATATAATCCTCTACCTGCATCTCTCCTTAAAAATCAACGACTAACAAAAATAAAATTCTTTGGGTTGTTCGCCGCCCTCTCCTAGTTTTCCTAACATAGTTTGCCTTTTCCTTATTGTCTTGTTTGATGTAAGCAAACACTATGCTTTTATCATTATTTTAATATTTCCTGGTCTTCAATTTTTTTTTAATTAGTCTTTAAAAAACACTAAAAATCAATAAGTCAACTGTTCATTTTCAACACCTTAGGCTAGTCCAAGTTTTTTTTTTTTTAAAAATCTGGTATGAGTTTCTCCTCACAAAAAATTGAAAAAAAAAAATTAAAAACAGAAATTCATACGAAAAACCTAGCTACTGCGTATTATTCAAGCTTGGCTATGAAGGAATATTACACGCAGTCAATGTGTATGTCTCTTCCCGATGGAACTTTATCTGTTTAGCAATGAAGGCCTCAATGGCTCGCTGGAACTCCTCATTGGTCAGTTCATCAACTGTTTCCTCCTTAGCGTCGTCTGGATTTGAAAGTCTCCGGAAATTTCGTTTCTCCGTTGGCGCCAACTCCTCATTGGTAAGTTCATCAACCGTTTCCGCCCTAGCATCGTCTGGATTTGAAGGTGTCTGGTAATTTTCTATCTCCGCCGTTGGCGGGGACTCCGATTCAACTGCATCTTTCGAATTCTCTGCTTGAATTCTCACCGGAGAAGCTTCCTGTTCCGAACAGCATTTTACATCTGTAACCGCCGTTTCGATCTCTCTGTCGCTTTCGCGATTAGCGATCACTTCGGAAATTGTCTGTTTGTCCTGGAACACGATCTCGTCCGGCACCGGTACCGGAGCGAAAATCTCGGATAATTTCCCGCAATGGACGCTGCTCTCCGTGAGTGATTTGCAGAGTTTAGTCTCGTCGTCGTCATTGGAGGTAGTGTTCGGATATACTAGCCTGGAATTGAGCAGCAGAGTGACGACGATGAAGTTGCTGACGATGAAAATAAAGAGCGGACTGATCATCATCGTCACTACCTGCCGGAAATAGTAGCCGGAGATTTTGAGTGCAGAAGGCAAGCGAGCAGATGTCCACGAGAGAAAAACAAGGCCGAAGCAGAGCTCCATAACGCGGAAGAGCTTTACGACATTTTTGAATTTATCGAACTTCAGGTACCATTTTTCGTCTAAATTGGAAAGCTCCATTTTAACTACTGAATATTCCTCTAGATCAGAATTATTTCTTTTCTGGAAAGTGGAAACCAAGACCACTTCGAATAAGTTAAAGAACAATCATAGTATATATATATATTAGCTGAAGAAACATGTGACCTGGAAATTAAGACAACTAAAATGAGTAATGGTATATTTTCTGAATCCAAATTGGTCAGATATTTGACTTGAAAATCGTAAGGTTTCAAGTTCAACTCTACCTGAGAGCTATCTAATGGTTTTCTTAGTTTAAACCAGTCATGGACAATATATATTTATTTACTTCCTTGTAGTCCTTCACTAACTATGATCACAAAATCGATTTGCGCTATTTCTGGTAACTCAAAATATATTCTTTAATAAAATCTTAATAGTAGCTAAAATTATATTTGACTTCCCCGGCAACTTAAAATTTGTATATATACACACGCCGTTATCCTTTGTTTCATTTAATAAAATGCTATAAATTGCATGGTTCATAAATTGCATTAATGTGTTGTCGACTTGTCGTACGTAGTTTCTTTGTTATTGGTATCGTTCATCGCAGGTCTCATAATTGTAGCCTTGCAGGTCAGTGTGTACGGAGTGATCAAACCAAATCTTACTCACTATTCTTTCAAAACTTCAATGCTTCAATCTGCCAAACTGAATGTACGATTTGTATTTAATGTAGAGTTTGAACTTGACCAACAATTATTGATGGTTAGAAATACAGATTTTTCAATTTTGACGGACTATATCCTAATTTTATGAACTTGCTTCAAGACCTATACAGATGTAAATCGAGCGAATCTAATTTCAAGGTTGATAGGGTAAGAAATGTGGAGTAAATCATTCACCTACGACATGAACCAGAAAAACAACAATTAGCATTCAGAATGTAATTCCTAATGTTTGTATGGATGGATTAGCAAAAGAATGACAAATTTTGACAATGTTTGGTAAACAACTTAATAGCTAATTTTTAATTTATTTGATCAATTTTAACTATTTGATCAAGTAAAATCGTCTAAGTAGTTGGTAAATAGTTTTTTTTTCCCTTAAATTATTGATGCTAATAAATTGAAAATGAAAAGGCTAGTTGGAGGGAATAATTTTTTTATATCAATTTTGATTACATTTTCTTTTTAAAAATCTAATTTACTCTTAATAGTTATTAGTTATTGTGACATTTATGTTTATTTAATTTTTGTTCATATTTATATTTTTAGTGTTGAATTACTATTAAATTTAAATATACTTCATTAAATAAAATAACAAACTCGATCATTCTTCCAAAAGGCTGAATCCCAACCCTAAGGGCTTCACACCCCGACCCGACAGAGTATTTGGGAGGATGTAAATCATGATAACTCAACTGAACATGAACCATAGAGGCTAGACATGTGCTCACTGCGCACAAGGAACCCCCCTCACTTTGAGAGGTTGTTCCCACACTGCCAAAACAATTAGTACAATCAACTACTGTTATTAGTTATAAAAAATAAAAAAATAAAAAAAAAACTACTGTTATTGACTATCTACTAATACAATTAACTATTAATTAACAAGTAATTATTATAAAAATTGTGGTTAATTAAATTAGCTACAGCTTTTCAAAAAAAAAAAAAATTAGCTACAGCCGTTGAGTGAGAATGAGGGCCGTGGTACTGGTTCCGTGGCTGGGTGCCACCGGCTCAGAAACTAAATTAATCACATGGCCTTGCCTGATCCGAGCACTGAAACCCACTGCATGTAATTATTTTTGAATTCAAGTGTTCAACCAACCATCTGACCTCTCCGGCTCTCCCCATGTACCCACTTGTGCTCATGAGATTAGAGCAACTAATTAAAATTATTAATTAGATTACATTTTAACAATGTGTAATTTAAGTATAAATAATAATAATTAACAATTATAATTTTAAGAATGATAATAAATATAGAAATAATTATAATATGGTTTATGTAAATTGGCGGATCCACAAAAAAACTTGAAAAAAAAATTTAATTAATAAAAAAAAGTTTTTGAGATTGAGTGGGATAGTGAATGATAACCTGGATGCTTGGGCCCACAAAAATTTGGAGTAAAAACGTCATCAATGAGGTTGATTTGAGTTTGTATTCAAGGTTTCATAATTGTGAACCCAAGTCAAAGTTATATCTTTTTTTTTATGCATGAATTATGGGCATCATATTCTTTTATTATTATTATTATTATTTAGTTACCATAGTGGTTTAAAAAAAATAAAAAGAGTTACCTCTAATGGTTCTTCGAGTATTAGCGATTTACCAATTGTGATCATCCGAATTTTAAATGATTTCCAATGGCCTTTCATGTTTTAAAAAGTAACCGTCTGTGGTCCTTTTAGGACGTCTCGTGGTCATTTTAAACTCGGATTTTTTAAAAATTAGGACCACATGTGGTTATTTTTTAAAATATGGAAGACCATTAGAGGCCATTTAAACTTGTATGACCACAGCTGGTAAATCGCTAATACTATGAGGACCTTTGGAAGTATTAACTCCAATAAAAAAAATTTATTAATATCATGGAAAAAACAGTTTGAAGTCAATCATATTAACTATTTGAGAAGGATCGGATTTGTTTACAAAGGTGGTATTTAAATAACCCAAGAAATTAAAGCTAGCGGAAACTATCCAGTAATATCTCTGAACTACATCACAATTATTCAGTTTAAAGGTAAATCATTTTTTTTTTGTTTTGTTTAAGATAATTTGAAATGTGTAAGTGTACAAATGATACACATTTATACCCTTATTATGTTGGCTATATTATTTGACAAAACTTAAAACTTAACTATTATTTTCTTAGTCTTGATTGGTCCGTATATTTATTCTCAGCAGCCTTCTGGAACAGAGTCAGCCTGGTCCTACAGTAATTTTATCTAACAAAAATCAGTTATGTTGAACAAGTTTTAAGGACTGATTTGAAGTGTATGGTGCTGGTTTTTTTTTTTTTTTTTAAGGAAAAACTTAGGGTGTGTTTGGTTCGCACATGAGAATCAGAATATCAAATACTTGATAATGGTAATGGGTTTTGATAAAAGTATTTAACATGTTTGGTAATAGGGTGGAGTGGGAATGGTTACTAATAGTAGTGCTTGAGAATGAATAAGGGAATGAAACCCTTATTTTATTTGGATATAAATTTTTCAATTGATGGGGTATTCGAAACCCATAGTAGTGTTCTAAAAACCTATAAACCAAACAATAACAATCACTTTCATACTCATTCCTATGTGCAAAACCCATCAACCAAATACACCCTTAATTCATTGAATCAGCGGAAAGAACATTAACAAGAAAAGCACGAGGGAAGTCCAACCACTCCCCGCAATTTGATATAGAAACGACTTCCCGCGCAACAGCATGGGCAGATTCACAGATCGCCTAGCAAAAACAAAAATTACATCGGGAATTTGAGACGCAATTTCCTTAAATTTGCTTAATATCATCTAAAATAAACCCAAAAGACGAAGTAAAAGATTCAGAACATAAAACATGAACAGTAAGCTGAGAATCAGTCTCTACATCAACATTCCCAAGATTCAGTCCTTTAAGCCAACTGAGAGCCTCACGAATACTAAACGCTTCCACCTCCTTTACACCAAACGAGCCGTAGTATTTTACCCCTTTTGCTGCAATGAAAGAGCCATGCTCATCACGTATTACCCACCCCAATCCCATAGCACAGCTACCACTAGTACCGAAAGCGGCATGGTTAGCTTATTTCTAGTCAAGTAAGTTGAAGATTT